AGTAAGGCACTTGTTACTACTAGCGAGGCACTTGTTTCTAATAGCTTCTTGTTACTACTAGAGGACGGTATTTCTTAGACGTACGATGCCAATCGTCGAGGACTTTCTTGGCAACGACCAGACAGCGTGCCCAGCTCTCCGGTCCGTGGTCTGTGCGGGGAACGCCTGACACCAACCAAGCCACGACAAAGAATAGCAAGCATAAAAAGCAAGTTTCCAGATGTTTCCAGGAGTCTTTGGCGGGAGGGCATCCAAGAGTCTCAGAAATTGCCAGTTTAGCCTTTAAACAATATATCAGAAGTTTCTGGGCGGGTGGGCGGGTGGCAGCAAAGAGTCTCGGAATATGTTGTTGTGGTTGTTGGTTGTTGTTGTTGCTGTGGTTGTTTGTTGTTGGATGTGTTTTTATGTTTTATCTTGTTGTTGTTGTTGTTGATGTTGTTGTTCAATTGTTTATTGTTTACTATTTTTGTGTGTGTGTGTTGTTATTGTTTGTCCGGTGGGAGGCAAAAACAGGTGATACCACATGTGCATTTTATGAAGCATATTGCACATTGTTGAAGTGGGCAGCAAATGCAAAGTTATGATATACATGCCTTTTGTTGATATGTTTTTACTATAGGGGCTTGGCACATGGACATGCAAACTACACTGTAATTTAATGTCATGTACAGTGCAGCCCTAGGAGCGCCCCTTCTGCAACCAAAAACAAGACATTTCTCACCTCCTTGACGCCAGGTAGCACAAGGGTACCAAGCTTTGGGAGTTGAACTGGATGTGGCTGAGATTCCTGGATGTCTGCGGCTGAAACAAATCCCCTCTGGGGACACCATCCATCACTGATGGCAGCAATGGCTTGGAAATGGCTCAAAAAGTAGGGTACCATCGGCCGTCGGTGCCCTATATATATATATATGTATATTAAACCCACTACTAAACCCCTGGTTGCTGGTAAGAAATATGCAACGTGACTGAACACCTGCAGGTCCCTGGAGTGCGTGAGCTCCACGCCATTTTTGTGTGGAAAACACTGTTAATGTTAATAACTTAAAACATTGGACAACTCGTCCAAACCCATTCACCAGTCGTCAGAACCAAATCAAGCCCTCACTTGGACTGCTGTTTCCTTTCTTGGAGGTGACGCAAATGGTGACCGAAAAGGGAGATCTACTACTGCACGTGAATCTACACAGGGTTCCCCTCCAAACGACTGACTGACAAAACAAGTACCGAACTCTGTGGTGGCAAGCCATATATATCGTATATCCATATAGTTTGCTTTATATTGTTTTGAACACAGAAACGCTAGCAAAAAAACATGGAAATACGTTCTTGTCTTCAATTGAGCCCTAGACCCGAATGAAAAGCAAACACCAAATTTACTTTCACACCCTAGTTGTAATCCTTTACCAAAAAGACTCACTATGGGTGTGTATTAGAATAGGGAGGCCCTTCAAAGACCTCTGGGAAATGAAAAACAGACTAAATCCGTGGGTTGGGATATGCTTGATGTTCCAACTCTGGCAGTCTCCAAAGCCGGGTCGAAGACGTCATTCGCTCGGGTTTTTACTGGGAGGGGGCGGCGGCTGAACCTCAACTTCGACAGTCATAGGTAGGTTGAATATGGTTGAATACCCATGCACAATCCAGGCCAGGAGGCACTAGCAAGTCATGGAGTTGATATGAGTTGATCCAGTTCGGACGGAGGGCCCAACAGTGGCCCAACCGTGGGGCGATCGTCATCCCTATCGCTCATACCCTCCTGAGCCGCCCGCGAACGGCTATGCACGTGCTTGATTCGAACCCCACCCTGCCGGACCCTTCCATACTGAAAGCACTGGGGAAGCAAATCAGCGGGTCCCATCACCACCAACCCCCTGATCCGCAGAAACGCAAACAGGACTTTTCGATCCGCCCCCCGTCGTGAAAGAACTCGTATCGTGCCCAACTCGGTGGCTACTCACCGGCTACGCTCAGATCTGGCGGGATGAAGAGAAAATGGAAAGGAATTCTGGAATGAGAACCCTGCAGTTTTTGCAGGAAAAACCGCAGGACTAGCCAGCCATCGTCGCCTTGCGGGCCTGTATTTGGGATCCGTGTGACTGTGAGTCTTGATCTGATCTGTCCTGCGCATGTTCTGGAAGCCAACTTCGGAGTCTGAAGTGGCTCGAAGAGCACAAGCTAACAACCTCAAGGTGCTTCAGCCAGTTTTTTGCTTGGAACATGGCAGTTTCAACATTAACATTGAATTCTGTGCAGTTTGTGACATGGGAGCACCTGGGGTGCGAAACATGCACTGCTGCAGCATCTTGCATCAAGCCCATAGCCATGGCCGACCGGCACTGAAATTTACGGGTGTGAGCGATTAGCCTCACATGTTTTTTTGAAGAGCCCCCTGGTGGCGTCTTCTCTGAGCATGAACAGAGTTGCGGAAATCTTCAGTAGTGAGGAGTGATATGTAAGGGCCCAGAGTTTTAAACAAAACAAAAACAACATCTGACGAGTTCAGACATGTTAAGGGCACACCAAACGAAACAACTGAAGAGAAAACTTACCCTCCCAGAGTGCCACCTGTCAGGCCAGGGTCTCTAAAGCGGTCATGACTCCGAAGATATGCCATTTATATAGATATGTTGGAGCACGTGTTGGGTAGGGTAGTAAGCCAGTTTTGCCACAACATCATATGTCAGAATCCCATTTGCCAAAAGGTACAGAATGCCAAATTTTGACATAGTCGGCAACAATGGCAGCACATCTGCCATCTTAAAAGTGGATCAGCGCACATGTCAGAACATAAAATACTAGATATACTAGCTACACATAGTCAAAAACAAACACACACACACAATGCAAGAGGGACCACTGCCATGCGAAATGCCAATACATATGTCAGTACACCACCTCATATGTCAGGCAGCAAAAGGAAGGACATGATCCTGACAAATGACCTGACCTGCTGCCTGACACTGGCATATGTACTCCATTATGCATTGTACTCCCAAATCAGGGCAGAATTCTGTGCACCAAGACCCTCCTGTCGTGTCCGATGGCTACCGCCTGCATGGTCGCACTTATGCTTTGACAGTTATAGTTATAGTTGTATAGTTGCAGCTCGACTCCATCTCTCAGAATGTTCATGAGTCTATTCCGAAATTCCCGGGTAGTAGCTGTCTGGGTTGAGGCAAACAAAGTCACTCCAATCTCTGGCCATCCACCCTGCCCCCTCTCTGAAAAAAAGCTCACCGATTGATTGTTAAAACAGCTGTTGTTGGAACATTCCTTGAAAACCAACAAGCCAACAACCTCTATTGACCAGCCGTATCAGCGCGGCATCGTCGGGCTGTGAAAGAGGCTGCGAAGATCTGCGAAGCTGGTGGGGCAAGGAACAAGAGGCCTTCGGGCAAGTGGGAGTCACAAGTTCCAGTTGATCAGCACACCTTTAACCAAATAGTAAAAAGTGGGAAAGCAGGAAGGGATCTCCACCACTCGCACGTGCGATGGGCTAAAAGCAATGGCCCCAGCATGGAGAATATACAATACCACTCGGGGACTAATCTGTCCTGGGCAGGGAAAGCATCTCAAGCATAAGGCTGGTAGAGGCCCATATTGATATCTAATCTAACATCTACTTATGGAACGGCCACGCCATCGATGTTCCGATCACCTGTGATGACACCAGTGATGTTCCGGTGGGCCAGGGCCGCCAGGGTGCTAGTGCCCTGGGCACAGGTTTGGAAGGCTTAGAAACATGAGACGCTCCCTGAAATACTCATGGAAGTGCAACATTGATGAAAATGGCCCCTTGGATGACCATTTTCCTCTACAAACAGACTATATTGTCCAGGTCCATGATTAGTTCAGGGAGCGTACAGTATGTATGAGTACGAGTACGTCCGCACCTCATGGGTCCCAACTCTTCTTTCATCTTGGAAATGAGTCTCATGAAATGCAATAGATATAAATGCAATAACCCAATAGAAGAATGCAATAGAAATGGGTATCTTATTTCGTCTTATTTCATCTTATTTCTATTGCATTCTTCTTCTTTCCCATCTTTCCT